TCATTGCGTACTACCATCTAGGCCTAGGCCTAACCTCAATCTAGCTTTTGTCAATGTCCAGTGCTTGCGAAATAAACTAAACCTAATATCTCTGTTCGCTGAGGATAAATCACTTGATGTACTAGGTATAAGTGAACACTGGTTAGTATTAAATGAAGTAGAATTTTACAGGGAAATTCAGAACATGACTTATGCTACTGGTTATTATAGAAAGAATCATATCCATGGTGGTGTGATGATGTACATTAAACAAGATATAAATTTTAAACCACTTGACCTAACTCAATTTTGTTTTGAGATGCATATTGAAGTATGTGGTGTGGAATTGCTGGATCACAATTTGGTCATTGTATCCATTTATAGGCCACCAAGCGGCGACATAGATATTTTTCTTGATACCCTAGATAAATGCCTCAGCTCCATAAATAGACAAAGTGGTGACATTGTGCTAGGTGGTGACTTAAATATTGCCTTGAACATGCCCTCAGCACTATCCGAGGACCTGGAAACCGTACTTCGTGGACAGGGTTTGTTCATCACAAATCGTGTGCCCACCAGAGGAGATAGATGTATAGACTCGATTGCCTCAAACCTCGATGTCTGGGATTATAGTGTGGAGGTACCTTTTGCGCTGATTGCCGACCATCTGCCAGTGCTGATGAGTGTAAAGAAGACAGCTTTGGTGAGTAATTTATCTTCTATACCATGGCATGACAATTATGTATTTTATAAGAGAAATGTGAGTGACCAACTGCTGCCTCAGTTTAAGGAAGCCTTAAGTAAAATAGACTGGGCTCTGGTCCTGGACGACCCAGACCCAGCGTCCTCTTTTCAAGCTTTTCACAGTAAACTGCTGGAAGTGTTCAATTTCTTTTTTCCGCTCTTAAATAAAGCCAAGCCTAAATCGCAGCCAAAGCAAAGAAGTAGGGGTAACGCATGCATTGCCAAGGACTGGTATACACCTGAGCTGGGCAGGGTCAGAGCTTTTACAAAACTGATCTTTGATAGATATAAGGCCGAGCAATCTCCTAATGCAAGGGACAAACTTTACTCTCTGTATCTGAAAACGAAGCGTAATTATAAATGTCAGGTAAATGAGGCCAAAAAAAGGGCAACTGTAGTACACATCCAGAGTTCACTAAACCAATGTAAGGCAGCATGGTCAGTGATAAATGACTCGAGGAAGAAAAATGAAGTAGTCAACAAACTTTCTAGTCCAGATGACTACAACCAGTTCTTTGTCAACTCAGTTAAAGACATAACTGAAGAACTGAGCAGAAAAGCCGCTGGAAACCGAAGCGGAGAAACCAGAGTCCAGGTGCAGCCCCTGACCCCTTTGGAGGAATGGAATCCTACTACGCAAGAGGAAGTAATTAAAATAGTTAAATCTTTCTCCAACTCAAGAAGTCCAGATATCTACGGAATCTCACCTTGGATTCTCAAGTCTGTTATAAATGAAATATCACTGCCTCTGTCTGAAGTGATAAACAGGTGTCTGCGGGTGGGACTTTTTCCAGACTGCCTTAAAATCTCAAGGACTATACCTGTTTTCAAAAAGGGGGACGCAAACCTTACCTCAAGTTATCGGCCAATCTCAATAATCCCGACTGTAGGGAAGATTGTGGAGAAGATTGTACAGAGACAGATTGTCGACCATTTTGAAGTAAATCACTACTTTACAGCATCCCAACACGGGTTTCGGAAGTCGAGATCTACAACAACAGCCCTCGTCTCCTTGATTAGTGAGGTTTTGGACTCCTTTGAAAATAGACAGTCAATGGCTCTGGTCCTTTGCGACCTGTCAAAAGCCTTCGACATTGTCTCCCACGACATATTGCTTGAGAAGCTCGGCTATTATGGAGTTGGCGGAGTTGCCCTCCAGACCTTTAAATCCTACTTAGAAGGTAGAAGTCAGATGGTAGCAGTGCAGGGCGCACTGTCCTCCCCAGCCGATGTGAAGTTCGGAGTTCCGCAGGGCTCAATAGTTGGCCCCACTCTCTTCCTGATACTGATGAACGACCTAGGTTGGGATAGAGATACTCTACTCTTTGCGGACGATACAACCCTGCTGGGCAGGGGGCAAGATCCTACTGAGGCGGTCGCTTGTTCAGAACTTCTATTCCAAGAGGCTAAAGACTGGTTCCTCATAAATAACTTGAAGCTCAACGAAGATAAAACACAAAGGCTTCTGCTCACCCTAAGCAGATCATCTCCATCTCCTGACCCTCCTGTCAAACTTCTTGGCTTCGTCCTGGACTCCAAGTTACAGTGGGGCCCTCATATAAATTCTGTTTGCGTAAGACTGAGTAGAGTGATCTTCCTCTTGAGAAAACTGAAACACCTGATAACTGCGCAGTACCTGTTGACAGTCTATTTTTCGCTTTTTCATAGCCACGTGGCCTATGGCATCCAACTGTGGGGACATGCTGCCGACAGCAGTCGTGTGCTCCGCTTGCAGAAACAGGCATTACGAGTAATCACAAATAGTAGGAGGCGGAAGCCATGCAGACCCCTTTTTAAACTGTTAAACGTCTTCACAGTCTATAACCAGTACATCCTTGCCTGTGTTGTACACATTAAAACCAACCTGAGCAATTTTGAACTCCGAGGCCAGCTCCACTCTTACAACATTAGAGGAGCACAGAAGCTCAATACCCAGCGGTATAGACTGTCCCTGACAAGAGATAGCTTCCCTGCAGTTGCTGTACATATGTTTAATGCCCTGCCACTCCACCTGAGAGAGCTAGAGCCGAAAATATTCAAGGACAGAATCAAGGAGCTCCTCCTGCAAAACCCGTTCTACTCAGTTGACGAGTATTTTGAGGAAGCACCAACTCTTGACCACCCACCGCCATCTAAAGCTTAAGTTTTAAATATATGTTTTATTAAAGAAAGTTTTTATTTTATAAAAGTTTGACGCTGTCTATCCGGCCCTGGCTGGTCAGAGACGAAGAGGAGGTAATAGGTAATAGGTAATAGGTACTGTGCTGCAATGAGTTTTGCCGGACACCAATCAGCTGATTATACTGTATTTAGGTGGCAGTGAGTGGTTATAAACAAAAACATAACCTCTCTTAGAGGTTATGACTAGTGATTTTTAGTCCTTTAGTTGGTGGAAATATATAAGGATTTGTACGGATTTAGTAGTATGGCGTAAACTATCGTACGTAACTCGTCCAAAATGTGTGTACCGGACTCGTATGGTAATCCCGTACTCGACTTCGTCTCGCACGGGAACGACGACACTCGTCCGGTAAACACTTATTTTCAGGACTAGTAACGTAATATACTATTCCCGGCTCTAGCGTCCTAAACACTACTTCAACTCAGGGCTTACTGGTTTGCAATAGTTTTTTTCAGTTTTAAGTTACGGAATTCCCCTTGCTAACGGTTTCCTCATATTTTTACCAAAATAAAATTGTAAAAGACTGCGTCACAGAACGTTTTTAACATAATTTTGCAGTGGGAAATTTTATAGAACATTGACATCACATAGCTTACACATAAGTTAATGTAAAATGGGGTAAAAAAACGAAAATACGTCTTAGAATTATTAAATCGAAGGAATTTAATTCCTCAACGATGTCACAAAACAGTTCATTGAAGGACCACAGGTAATTTTAAAAGAATAATCTCATGTTAAAACTCCTAACGATCTATCAAGTAAGATACTGTCCTGCAACATATTATTTCTAGTAGCATTCTAGAATGTGTACAATCGACGACGGGGCTGCTTGAAATGTGCAAGGGATCGCTATTCTCCACAATAACGTCTCAGATACATTATGGAACATCGGATTTGGGGCAAATTAACTCCGTCGCTTGGACGGATGCCACAAGGAATTATTGAGGACTGTAATCTGGCCGAAGACGTACCTGCCAGCCCCCTGTCATTGCTTACTGCGTAGGCGCTGCCAGAATATTGCGGTTTAGCACTTAGAAATATACTTTAGAAAATATACGTCTGCTTTAATTTATATTTTTAAAATCAAAGAATACATTTTATTACTTAATTAATTTAGAAAAACAAATCGTAGGGTCGGAGGTTGTAACTGCTTCGACCCTGAGAAGATAGAATTAAGTTTGTGTATTTATACGAAATGGTTTAGCAAACAAAATGGCTCTTTATCGATACTTGAACCTTTCACTATTAATAAAACTAGACATTACATCCCCATGTTAAATTTTTAGCCAGATTTTTTTTCAAAATCTTCGTAGTTGATGTGAGGCCACCTACAGATTGCGCTGATCTAAATTAGTAAATTCTGACGAATACATAAACTTTTTTACCAATTCTTAGAAAATGACTCATTGTGAGCTATAGCAACTGTTATGAACCATCAACTTGGTCAGCAACATAAACTAAGGTATGAACTTTTTAGACATCGCATTCTGTGACTGGTTCACACAACAACGTTCTTTTTAATACAAAATTTGCGACAGCTGGTCCATATAGATGGGATGTCTACTTCAGTACCCAATAGACAATGCTTGAACTGTACTGTGAAATGTTTCAATCCTTCCTCGGTCCCTAGAAGTCCAACTCAAGTTAGCCCATTGATCTTGCTGCATTCAGAATCTTTTTCCGCAATTTGGTTAGGTATGATCAGGAGTTTCAGATAACAGACATGGTAATACTGCACGAAATTCTATTCTATGTAGAGGGAGGAAGATCCGCCACAACCAAGAGTTAAGAAAGCCATTCCGAGATCCCGATATTGTAGGAGAGGCCAAAAGCAGAAGGCTAAGGTGGGTTGGTCATATCTTGAGCAGAAATGAGGAGAGCTTGTTGAAGAAGATACTAAGGAGGATCCGAGGGGAAAGAGAACAGTAGGAAGACCAAAGGCCAGATGGTGGGATCAAGCCCGAAAAAGATGAAACTCGGAGGACCGAGAGAACTGGCGGCAATGTGCTGGCGAGGCCAAGTACTACTAGCTTGGGTACAAGTGGTCATGGCAGTAAGTAAGTAGAGGGAGGGAGGGAGGGAGGGATGTACATACCAACAGAGTCTGCGGACGTGTCTCTCAGTGTCTCCTTCACTGGTGTCGTTGGACATGAGACCACTGAGTTCTTGCAGCTTGTGTTGGTAGTCCCTGGCGCACTCCTCGTAGTCTTGCTTGACTTCCCACATGCAACTGGCGTGTCTCAGGAACTCTGCAACAATAAACTCAGCTAAGACTTGGGCATGACACTTTAAGTTGCTTGACTTCCCACATGCAGCTGGAATGTCTCAGGAACTCTGCAACAAGAAACTTAGCTAAGTCTTGGGCATGACACTTTAAGTTGCTTGACTTCCCACATGCAGCTGGCGTGTCTCAGGAACTCTGCAACAAGAAACTCAGCTAAGACTTGGGCATGACACTTTAAGTTGCTTGACTTCCCACATGCAGCTGGCGTGTCTCAGGAACTCTGCAACAAGAAACTCAGCTAAGACTTGGGCATGACACTTTAAGTTGCTTGACTTCCCACATGCAGCTGGCGTGTCTCAGGAACTCTGCAACAAGAAACTCAGCTAAGACTTGGGCATGACACTTTAAGTTGCTTGACTTCCCACATGCAGCTGGCGTGTCTCAGGAACTCTGCAACAAGAAACTCAGCTAAGACTTGGGCATGACACATTAGTGGCATGACTTCATATAGTTTATTTGACTTCGTCAAGATGAAAACAAATTACATGGAAGAACTTGTACATGCCAATAGTCAACAAAGGCTGTTTACTCTTGTATACATCTTTAATAGGCTATATCAGAAGCTTGACAACCAGAAACATGGACTCTCTTAAATGTTTATTTAAATTTGCAATTGGATACTATATTTATCAAATAAATATAAAATCTAGCAAATCAATTGTATCTACACTTTTGAATTCCCTTGAATACAATTCTTACACGTATTGCAACTAAAAGTTTAGTTCTAAATCGATCTTAACTCTGCTATCAGTTTTGAAAGTTAAGGTTGACATACAAAGTATGTGATCAGGGCGTGACAGAGTGGTGAAATTATGCCATCACACAGATGTTACAAGACCGATGTTACTATCGAATGTTCTGATAACATAACTGTTCTGACATTGGCGGTTTGTCGCGAAATCTCAACACCATTACAACTTAGCCAGTGACTAAGTTGTACAGTATCTTTGACTTTGATTATTGCGAGTAACCTTATGGTTTTACTGTAGGCCTGTTAACATCTGAAGCTTTAAAGGCTTTAAAAGCTTGAGCTGAAGTTTTAAAGGAATTTCATGTTCCGTTAAGTTTGAGTTCGTTAGTTTGACCATAGACAAAAAGAATTAAATATAGACTGTCAGCCGTGCTGTGGTTACCATGGTTACCATAGGTTCTGGCGCACACCGCTGGGAGCGCCGTGTAGTTACGTAGCGCGTACGCAGTAACTACATGGTGCTCCCAGCGGTGTGCGCCAGAACCTATGGTAACCGCAGCACGGCGGACGGTCTATATTTGATTCATTTTGTCTATGGTTTGACTAAAAGGTTTTTTTTATTATGATTTAACTTTTAGCACTAACAATACTATTTCAATTCAAGAAATAATATATATGTGTTTAAAACTAATCAACATCCCCAAATTATTCCAGTATATTTCCATATTTCTGATAAACTATAACGTCAATCAATAAACAAATCACAATGGAAGTCAAGCTATGAACCACTCAGAGACAAAAGCAAAGTTATTTCCTGGCGAAAAGTGCGATCAGGATCAGGAAGATTGTACGATTGACAGAGAGGCAGAGAGCGCGATAGAATATAATAGAACAACGCCACCAATCGTGAAATGCCTGTTGAGAGGCTCTTGCCTTTGTTTGGTATTCGTGTTAATTAGGAATCACATATTATTGTTCCGGCTCGTTTACCATGCTCGGCTTTCTGGTTCGATATTTTAATTATTTTTATTCAACAGTGCAAAGAAACTTCACTTCTATTATAGAAACGCGATTTTATAAATAAATATATTGCAATCGTTATTACCCACCCGTATTGCAGGAGTATTGAATTTATTGAATTCGTTTATAGTATAGTTTTCAATGCTGAGTGTTGATTAAAATTGAGTTTAGATGGTTGGCAAGTAAATAAGGGTTTGAACATTTGAAACATAAATACACTGCGTGCTATATTGTGAAGACCTATCCAAAAGAATCTGAATTTCCAAACAACTCTTCCAAAACCACTTGGTGACCAAGCAAAAACGGGACCAGTCCTCAAGTCGGGCAACGTCTTTGTTCACGTGAGTATAAAACTTGTTTCATTTACGTAAGAACGTGGCCTTGGTCTGCGAAGGGCATTAAGGTTATGTATGTATTGTTTATTATGTAACCTATTTCGGGGGGAGTGGATATGTAGCACGTATTCTATATTAGTTTGGTACAAAAAAAAATATCCATTTTATGATTTTCCCCAAATTACTAAGCTTTTTGTTGTCAAAGGACTTTGAAAATGTACCAGTTCTCACAAAAACTTATAGATCTATAAATTAAGTTTCTAACAAAATTATTACCCAAGCACGATTCCCAGGGATTTATATGTTTTACGCTGTACAAGCATTTAGTCAACATATACACATTAATTCATTCGGTAAACCTAGAAACGTCAAATATATTTTAGCTTTCGGAAGACCGGTGAGGAAACTTCAAGAAAAATTGTAATGCATGCCTAACTTCTGACGGGGCCTCACACTTCAATACTTTTTAATCAAGTGCGCAAGAGAAAAACGGGGGTCTGTAAGTAGGCTATTCTTGGAACGTAGGCCTACTCCGCGCCGCGCCGTGCCGGTGAGAGGAGTGACGTCACATCGTACGATCTTGTAGCACCAATGGAGATGCCCCACGAGCACGATGCGCTCACCTGACTGGTGGTCCCGTACAATATCGTAAATTACGAGACGCGGGAATTCCTTGAACTTCCCCGCATCACATTCCACTGGCGACATCAAAGTCACCACAGGAAGGCCTAGCGATCTGCTGTGCCATTCATATGGTCATCTTAACTTGTAAACATTCACACTTCGTAAACGTAAATATCGTTAAACTTGTCAAGTCATTTGGTCCAAGACCACAACCTTGAGGGACTACGCAACTTCTTGTGGAACTTTTTGTTCTGTAAACGAGAAATTTGACCCTTGTAACGTCCGGTTTTTATTTTTTGCCATGAAGCCTTACACGGGTGACCTCCAAGTGTAACAAGTCCACTCAAGTTGAAACTGATTAGCATAAAGATTAGAGTAAACGTGTGACTTTGGTATTGTCGTTTTTTGTTGTAAAATGAACTTCACGTGTTATTCAATGTTATATTTAGTTATAAATTATGTAGGCCTATGAACCTAAATATTAACACAACTCAAAAAGCAGACGGAATGCAATTCGTGAGTATGCTCTACTGTCTCAGATTTTATATTTGACTAGAAGACGACTTTTCCCGACCGTTTGTAATTTCAGTTGTGGGTTTGATGGGACATGTAACGATAGTTTCCTGACATACCAGTACCAGCACAACGTCAAGTGTTCGTGATATAACGTAAGTCTGAGACAGAAGTAGCACTTTCTCTTCAGCAGCTTCCACACCATACCAAAACCATCGTTCTTCACAACTCTACTTGACAGAGGACCCATGTCAACGCAAATGAAAGAATCCAGGAAAACTCATACAAGAATGTTTCAAGCGCTTATTTTTCTCTAAATAGATGTAAAAAATACGATTCATGAAAATTTCGTTAATAAAACCTGTATTCTACCAAATTTGACTGATCATAACACTATGACAAATAATCTTGAATAACTTCTTGATCAGCATTGTACGTGTTATTAAATTTACGGAAAGTATATAAAAGATACGTCTTATATATTTACGCTTATACTGTTACTCACAAGACGAAAAATAATCTTGCTCGATCCAAATGATAAAATAATTAACGTTTACAAAAAATCTTCGTGCCTCAATTTCTTTTCCGCTGAGGAAGGTGTTATGATATTGTTTCCGGTAAGGTAATGTTTCTTACAATGCATCTGTAATAAATGATTGTTCATAAGCAGATGATTTGTAAACAGTATTTTTTTGTTTAGTGTTAAAGTTTAATTTTGATCAATATATGGTTGTTGGATGTATAAATATAGTTTTCTAACTAATCGTAAATCGTAAACAGTAGAACCTTGATAACAAGACATACGGGGACTATTAAATAAGACTTGTTATCAAAGTTGACTTCTTATCGAGGTGTGCAATAACAAGTGATTAGGGCGTAAAATAAATTCTAGTGGATTAAAAAATGACACTCGTTATCAAGGATGACTTGTTATCGAGGTTTCACTGTATTCTCGGCATATGAAGGACATGACCGACAGTAAGGTTTTCATAGTTTGTTTTCTATTCCGGATTTACCTCCACGACTTGTTTGCCATTTGTTTTTGGTCAGCCTTATGACGTAGACATACGTGTAGCCTGAACAAGCTGGCACTGACCTTTGTCGCGTATTTGATCTAAACATTGCTAAATAGAGACTCAACCTTAGGTCGTCACTAATACACTGTCAGATGACGCTCAAGTTTGGAAAGATTTGGAACTTGGGTGAGTAAAATGGATATCTTATTTCTTAATAACCTATTTCGTTTAGAAATTTCCTGCAGGAAATTATATTTACAAAAACACAACTTTGTCAAAGAACTTAAGAATGTTTCTAATTATCAAATGTATTACAAACAGTGGTAACAAGGTTTGAACTTTGTCAGATTGGTCACAGGGTATGTTTTCTGTGGTTTGGTTGAACGTAGTTCAGTTTTACCCCACCAACTTCCTTTACTTTTTAATCCTTTGATTCTATTTTGGAACTAAAGATCAACATCAGCACCTAGGACCATTTTCCGAAATATATATTCACTTTGAAGAACACTTATTTAAGAAATTCTGATATCAGAGTAGTTGTAGAACACCCATAGATAACCACGAACCACATTTCGTTACTTTCGTAATAATTACAGTTTGTCAAATACAAATTTAACATAAAGTTTTAAAATGCGATACTTAAACTGTTAAACGAAATAGGAAAACCATTAGCGATGTTAATCCTTGGTATTCTAGTACAGTATATGAGTTTGGAGGTCGCTGGGGCATGGCTGCCTTGGACAAGGCATTTACACAACCAATTAAT